CCAAAGTTTCAAATACAGTAAACCCTGACAAAATGCAACTAAGTTGCAAGTTGACGACAGTATTTTCATGTTAATAGCAAGATGTACAGTATATCATTGTTAACCCTTCATTAATTAACTGTGCTCGAGTACAAGAGGAGAGGTTTCTTCACCAGTAATAAACTGAGGCATCTTGTCAGCATAGACTTCGCCGCTTTTCTGGTGCCCACGGACCCACCCAGTCTCTTGGTGAGAGCTCTTCTTTCTGAGTGAAAGTGGATCTTTGCCAGATGGACCATCACCACCGCCACCTGAGCAGCGGATTGACAACTGAATAAGAATGACAATGTCTTGATCGTCATTCTAACAGACACGACAATACTGAAGATGAGATGGTAGCTGAAATGCTATTCAGTTGTGAAAATGGTTTGACTGCCTGTAGAACTACTTAAATCATATTTTTGTGTTACAACTAAAAATGTAGTGAGCCTCAGGGAAACATGAAGAACAATAGACAAACAATAATAATTATGTGCTAATTGTGAAACGTCAAAAGTTCAAAGTGTTACCATTGGGATGGGGGCTGCTCTCGTCATGAACAGACGATGACAGACACTGCACACTCGCGGGTTGGTTTCTCAGTTTCTTCTGTCGCATTTTGACTTTAGCTGCAGACATTTTCTTCAAAAGCAGAAGGTTTTTCGTCACTAAATGTTGGGCATTCTCATCCCAGAACAGTCTGAAACACTAAACATACAGTGGCTTGCGAGATTATTCGGCTCAATTGAACCTTTTTTTTTTCCTTTTTGCCACATTTCAGGCTTTGAACAAAGATATAGAATTCGATATATATATATTTTTTTGGGGGGGGGGGTTAAAAATTGACACCTCAATCATAATTGGAATGGAATTTGTATGATATTTTAAACTTTTTTTTGATAACTTCTGCACTGAATTGGCTGACAGTGAGGGGGCCAAATAATATCGCACACCGCACTTTCTATAAAAAAGAAAACAAAAATTTATCGCATGAATTTTGTACCCATTTTGCGGATGTGTCCCACTTGATGTTGATTCTTTACAAAAAAAATCCAATTTGATTTCATTATGCTTGAAGCACGAAATGTGGCAAAAGCTCAAAAAGTTCAAGGCTTTAGGCAAAATGTAAAAAAAGTAGAAGTAAAAGACATCTTTTCATCCAGTACCAGTCATGTCTCATTCAAAACCTTCTGTGAAGACTAAGGTTGGCAACGAGAACAGCAAATGTCAAGAAAAAACAGGAGACTATTTTTTTTTCTAGTCGTCGTGTCTTCAATATACAGAGAAACGGTGCTCAAGAAATCAGACGTCATTACTCAGCCACGGTTGACTTGCTCAGGAATATGCAAAGTACCAGGGAGATGACAGAGAGGACCAGGTGCATGTCGATGGTCTTGTGCTTGCAATTCACACGATTTCTGGAAGCCCGAACTGCTTTCATTACCGACGCACGACACACTTTGAATACTGTACTAGAAAATGATACAATTTCCTGAAAATTCCTCTCGGGGATTATTATCTAACAAGTTAAGCATCTCAACACTTACGGTCCTCAGTCATAACATTAGTCAAAATTTAGTTTTACCTTTGCAACCAATGTTATACCCACATATTGTGACGAAAAGCGTCACTCATGTCACTCTCCGTCAGTGACACGATCCATTTGGATATATACTGTAGGTGGTTTTACTTTTTTTGGAACATACCTAGATCATGTAACTTGTTATGATCTCAGGTTCTGGACAGGCGTGAATGATACTGGTTTGGTCGCATGGCTAATGGGAGTCCAAGGAATGCACTGGAAGTTCGGGTAATGCTCAGACGCACGGAAAATTAGAGCGGACATTACTTCATGAACACTTTTTTAGAGTCTAGGGCCAGACACACCCAAACTCTCCAGCGGGCCCCCCAACAAAAGTTGAGTTAGATACCCCTAGTTTAGACTGTCCCCTTCTTTCCTACGACACCCGGCTAACTTAAAAACAACATATTTCCACCAAGCCAGCATCGTTATTTCAAGTAGACTTAAACAATTGTGAGGCTTTCAAGCAAACGCGTAAGAAAATAGTGTTATGTTGCTACATTTACCTGGGTGGACCCGATGAATTCTGCTCCAAATGTGGTTTTGTTCTCTTGACAAGCTAGCGGGGCAGCGTGTGAAACACAGAACGTGCGAATTGCTTCCGGATATGTGGTGGTCATGGGAGTTGTAGTGTATATGTGCAAGAATATTTGGGAACATTTAAATTGTTTAAATGGTGGCTGAATATCAGTTTAATTGTATAAAACATATTTTCTAAATATAATATTTATGAGTAGTAAATTGTTTCAGTCTGATTTTCGGATGTTTTAGTCCACATTTTTCCCCACGTGACCAGCCTCTTTGTATGAAAAACATTGTTTTACATCCTTGCCACTAATATATACATTTGTGTCGAAATCGTTCAGTGAATATGAAAAGGAAGGACTTCTGATGTATATCTAGGCCATGGCCTAAAATTGCCGTGACTCGTGCGACGTCCCAGCGGGTGTCATTGATAAATAATAATACTGTAAAGACAACTAGAAAGACAACGACAGGATACGATATCTGTATAAATTGCGTGGGAAATCAGAAGAACTGACGCGTATCTGAAATGCTGCATAATCAATTCAAATGTAGAAAATGCAAGATGTCAAAAGCTAAATTGTTATAGGACAGGAAGACCGTACTCTTCAGCAGTCTCCCAATATTGCTGAGAGCACCTTCCAACCACTTGAGGACGCTGTTTCTCCATGACGGAATATATTCCCAAGTACAAGTGGCCAACTGTGCTGTACTAGTGAAAAGAATTTTTACTCCAACATGGGTTTAATGATAGAAAACCCACTATTTTGGAGAAGGATTTCTCTAACAGTTAATCGCTTTAAAATTTTGTCTCTATACTGCTCAGAAATGAGGGAAACACTTAACTCAATAAATGAAATATTCCAGTTGAAAATATGTTTTAATACTTGCTAATTACTTCTAGTTTCCATCAGTTTTCTGTTCTATTTGCACAACAGCAACAAGAACTGATTCGCACTTTGTGTGGCGACTTCACTGAACAAGTTAATATCACAGAGGGAGGGTGTTACCCATTGTAACAGTGCATTCAGGGTCTGCAAGGCCATCTCTTCTGGCCTGAGCACTGTCAGAAGCACCGACCTACATTTGCAAATTTAATCAAATTATATTAATTTCTGTTCACTTAATTTCTGTACTTCAGCTGCAGTTCATAGCCATTTACTTGGCTATTCAACTTCCAGTCGTGTGCATTTAATTTTTTTTATTTTTTCTCCAATCAGATTTCAGCATCTCTGTTCTGCCATGTCAATGTAATTTCACCAGGGCCTTCAGTGCCACAAGCACTGGCCCATAACACATACACATTGTGAGTGATGGCTGCCTCTTGTAGTTTTTTTTTCTTTTTTTTCTTAAACCAGATTTCAGAGTGTCACCAAAAAAGGTCTGTTTTCTGGTTTAGAGTAGCATTGGCATTTTTCCACCCTCTGATTAGTTGAGCTAAATAGTTTTGTGATGTGCAGCAATCGTTGGTTTATGGAGGAGAAGGAATATTGTACTTAATTACAATTTCATTTTTAAGGCAGACTTTTTTAGAAAAAAAATGAATATCGTGAGGATCGTTCGTCCAACACCATACCTGGCTGGCTTGTTTCAATATGGAAAATGATTTGGCATTTCCAAAGCTTGGTCCTGCTTTTTGAGAAGGGGGCGTGTTCCAACTCCGGGGTGATCACACTCCTCACCTTCCATGGTAGGGTCTACTGCTGGAGAGGAGGCTCTTCCCAGAAGGCAAATCTCAGATTGAAAAGGAGCGGTGTAGTTTTCATCCAGGCAATGTCACAGTGAACCAGCGTTACAGCCTCAAGAGAGTCCTTGAGGCTGCATGGCAGTGTAATGGGAATTTGACATCTAACAGTGCTAAAATATAACTAACTATTTGTACCGTTGAATGCTGACCAGTTATTTTGCAGATATGCAAAGTTGCTCGCTCATGCACTACACTGCATTCTCTGCAGCTGCTCAAAATGCTGATTGTGCTGCACGGCCTGACCTTCACCCCTCCCAAAGAGAAGAAAGCGAGATAATAAGAGAGAACAAGACACGGGGGGAGGCTCCCTTGACAGATCTTTGAATGGTGTCGCTCCATGTTTTTTTTTTTCTTTCTCAAATAAATCTCATCATTTTTATAATACTTGTTGTCTTGGTTTCCCTGGTCAAGACAGCAGTTTGCCCAACCAGTTTACAAAGTACATGACGGACTTAGAGAAGGTGTCCCTCGAGGAGTGCTGTGGATGGTGCTCCTGGAGTATGGGTGACCAGACCTCCTGGCTCTAGCTGTTGCTCCTCTGCATTAAGAAGAGCCAGATGATGTGGCTCATTTGAGATGCCTCTTGGACGCCTCCTTGGTTGAGGTGTTCCGGGACCACCCAGAACAAGGTGGAGGGGCAGTGTCTCCCGGCTGGCCTGGCATTCCCCTTGACGAGGTGGACGAAGTTGCTGCGGTGAGGTGGTGTGTCAGAATATGTGGTGAGGCTGTATTCAACCATTTTGGTCCCCAGCTGTGGAATAGCCTGCCAGAGGACATCAGGTCCGCAGAAACGGTTGATAAAGAGGCTCAGTTTTTTTATTTTTTTTTTTGCATATTTATCACACAAAAGGCGGCACGTGGGCGACTGGCTAGCACGTCTGCCTCACAATGCAGAGGTGCAGGGTTCGATTCCGGCTCCGGCCTTCCGATTTCCTCCCACATTCCAAAAATCATCCAACGCAGATTAAAGGAGCACTCTAAATTGTCGAAAAATGCAGGGGTAGGTTCCAGCACGCACGCGACCCTCGTGAGGAAAAGCATATTAGAAAATGGATGGATGGATATCACACACGCAAAGGTTTTTCAATTTTAATGTCACACAGAGACAACCCAAGGCAATACAAAATGCAGTTTCAAATGACAATTCAATTTATTAAGGCACAAAAAAATCCATACCTTTCGGACCCTCTGTGAAAACATAATTGCCCACCCTTGTTAAATCACAAAGTCACTGTGACTCACCACACATTTGAGAAAGGTGAGTTAAATTTCAGAAACCGTTTGTGATCCCCCACCGCAATAGTAACGCTATTAAAATACTTTTAAAAAGGTTCTTCGGGCCAGTTTGGTCCATTTTTCACTAAAACGCTCAATGTACAAGTATTTTATTTTTCAGGAAAATGATTTAGTGATTTTCATTTTAAAATGAGTTGTGTTACAGTCTACTTTGGGAGGATCATCAACTGGTATGAGTGAGAGGGGTGTCAGAAAAAAGTTTGGGGGCAGGCAAGACAAAAATCCCGACATTATCATATTAAAACACCAAGCAAAGTAGAAGTTATAGCACAAACATATTACATACACACCAAATTCTGTCCATACTTCTGAAAGGTGACCTAACATTTTATAACAGATTTTATTTTATTTGTTTTTGTAAGCAAAAATCATGTTACTGACACTATTAACCTGTTTTTATCTGTGAATGTTCATTGTTTTATTATTCGTGTTTGTCAGTTGGCTACACTTGGACCACCGGCACCTGTTTTTGTATTTTTCATCCAATACAAAGTTATAGAATGTATCCAAAACCTGTTCTACAAAATGACAAATGAAGCAACAATGAGTATTAATTTATCAGACATACACTTGATAAGTACTGGTAAGACGATACTGACAAAGGTAAGTTGGTTTTGTTGCCGCATCACCTTTTTCCTTCAGTTGCCTTTGTATTTGTAGCTTTGGGTGTTTTTCCTTTTTTTTTTTTAAAGCTTCTTTTCTCTGTCTGAAAGATAATTTAAGGACAAAAAAAGAACGTTTATGACTACTAGTAATTGTAACTGCATTACCGCCCCAAACATCTGGCTATCACTGTACATGAGGTTAGTTTGACTGAGTAATGTGCGTTTAATGGTTAGAGTTGTTATTCTGGTTCGGGAGACCGTGGGTCACAGTCCACTTGTTTTTTTCCTTACCAATTCAGTCTTCCTTTTTGGCTCTTTCCTTCTCCATACCCTGATGGCACTCTGCTGCTGACACTACTACTACTACAACAACACACACACACACACACACACACACACACACACACACACACACACACACACACACACACACACACACACACACACACACAGGAAAAGTCAATTGATATTTTCATTTACAAGACATCCTTTTCTGGCTCTCTATGTTGAAGGAAGTGGTTGCTTTTTTTTTTAACAACACAAATACAATGCACTCATTTAAGCGGTTAACACATAGCAGCAAAGTGATGCAATTGGTTAAGTGTTGCCATGTGTTGCTTGAATGAGCATCTAAATTGTGAGGCTAAGGAATGTTCCCGGGCCAAGGTGGCAGAGGGAGCCGTGTCTACTCTGGTCTCTCTCATTTAAGGTGTCTGACCGCTTGTTACTCATCTATAAATGAAGCTAAAGGGTTACTATGGTCACCAAATATTTGATTATGTCGGTTGTTTTTCTTTTCCATTGATTTGATATCAACTTTGATTATTTCATACATGCCAACCATTTATCAAACTTGTCAGGAAAGGATTTGAAGAAATAAAAGGAAGCCTACGCAGAATCATTCCAAACAATAAGGAGGACTCAGCACTCTGTAAAAGTCATTCAATTCACTTCCCAACATGATTCATGCCCTTTCTCAGCACAGGCATATTCAATATTCGATATGTATCACTAATTTGAATGCTCATATGCTAGACGTTACCACAATTCAATGGGACAAACCATTATGTCCTTTTCAAAATATAACAATATTTTACATTTCTAATGGCGGCTTAAAGCATCTGCACTGCATGGTATATACTGCAGTTGAATCAGCTGAATACCCGAACGCACCAAGATTCTCAGAATGTGTCTGGATGGCTGGCTGGTTGGGATCAGGTTAGACTTGCTGAATATTTGTCTTACATAAGAAGCAGCAGCAGGGCCTAAACAGTGCACAGTGAGAGTTGCGTGACTGAGTCTGTTGCGCTGACAAAATGCTGCCACAGAAAACTCACTCAAGACAAGAATTACATGGCGTGTGTGCGTGTGTGTGTGTGTGCGTGTGTGTGTGTGTGTGTGTGTGTGTGTTAACAGACCAGCAATGTCTTGTCTGCTGCAAACAATGTAGTTCAGACAGGACCGTATGAGAGCAAGGGATTGTTGGATTCTTCATTTCAAAGACAGTGGAACAATTCATTGTGTGTTTGGGGTTACTAGCCAACCATGTGTTAGTTTTCTGCATGGCAACAATCATCAAACTTTTGCCATAGTGAATGTCAACCTTACTCAACGTTTACACGCTTAGAGAAGTGTCTTTTCCCATTGTTTGTTTCTCCGCTTGTAAACATGATCTTATCTGTCGCTCTTTTTCATTACAAGTCTAAATGTGTTTGGACATGTGTTGAATTACCAACTTTGCACAGGTTAGTCACCGATTTAAGCCGGTGATAACATCGTACTGCTTGGACCGCTTCCCAAAATGATTGCCAGACTTTGTCAGGCATTGAACAGGTTGAAATGGAGAATGACACCTTGACAACCAAGTTAGCATGGTAGGTTTGACAGACACTAAGACTGCATAAAATCAAGTGCTCCGGTAGCTGTCATTCTCACCTAAGACTTTGACTTCATTACACGCTTCACATAATGATTGCTATACAGTAAAGAATGTCAATAATAATTCCATCAAGAATCAACTTGTGTAAGCGAAAGTGAAAAGCCGTTCACCCTGCCGTTTATTAGTTAGCAGGCTACTTTCCGGTTTATGACAGTGGCCTCAGACATTTGTAACTGATGGCCAGCGTTAATATTTACATTCTGGGACCGAGTTAAACGGTCCCAAACAGCCAAGAGTGAAAATCTGTCCGTATTACTATTGATTTTTACTGACATTTAAGGAGTTCTTGCCTGAAACATGCCAACGCTCCATTTCCTGCATATTGGTTTATCAAGCAAGCAAACAAACAAAGAGTAAACTGAACAATACATCTCAACTTTGTGTTTGTCAGAGTTAAATAAAAGAGCACCCAAAAGGTCTTCTTTTAGTTTATACCTTCAGTTGAGGTTTCAGAGGCCTGATCAGCAGCAGTGACTGGTGAATTGGCTTCAATTTCTACTTCTGTAGGTTGCGCTGCATCACTTGTCACTGAAGATGGAGAGGCTCCAAAAGTTGATGAAAATTCCGAGGCTTCCTTTGATGAGTTTTCCAAAGGTAATGTTGAAGACACTGGAATCTCGAGGACTTGTTCTTTAGCTACCAAGGCAGGTTCCTGAAGTGCGGTTGATTCTGTAGGACTTGAGGGTTCTGATTGTTGAGCAATTTCTGAAGGCATCACAACAGATTCATTGGACTCTTCAGCAGTAGGTCGCTGCTCATCTTCTGTCTCATCTCCAACCTGAACTAAAGGGGGCATCTCCGGAATGGTCGCCACTGCAATTCCTGTATCTATAATCACCTCTTTTGCCTCAGGGGACTTAGCAGTGGTTGAATCTTCGACTGAAGCATCTCCTGCTGTTGCTCCAGCTGGCGGTTCAACTTCATTTGGCGCAGACTCGGTTGAAGCAGGAGATTCAGGTATGACTAAAGCTGGAGGCAATAGAGAATTTTCACTTGCAGTCTCTAAAAATGGGACCACTTCATTAGGGACCTCAGGTACTGCCTCCTGCATATTTGCTCCCACAGGCTCAGCAACAGTGTTGGCAGCTTCAGGAGAGGCCCAGGCTGGGACAACGGATGCCAGTTCAACAACAGCAGGAACATCAGCCCGCACAGGTTCAATATCTGTAGTCGGGCTCTCAGCATGTATTCCTTTAAGAGCAGGTACCTCAACCTTTATCACATCATCATCTTTCAGGACAGGAACCTCTGTTTTACAAGTTTCAGCATCTTCTATGGAATGGACTTCTGCTTGTTCCATTGCACCCTCTCCCATGGTTGGGATCTCCTCCGCCGAAAGGGATTTGACCATCTGAGGTTCCACGGCTTCTACAGCAACATCTGCAAATCCAGAGTCACTGGAGGCTTCTACTGGGCCAGCAGCTGAACCAGGCTCTTGAACACTGAAAGGATCTGGTTGTGGCTCAAGCTCGGTCATTAGGTCTTGACCAGAGCGAAGGTCCTCCTGGCCTTGCGCAACCACTAACGCTGCCCCTGTGCCATCGTCAGCCGCCTGCTGAAAATCATCTGCTAAGGCACTTTCACACAACTGTGTTTTGTCCTCAGTGGTCTCTGCGATGATGCCGTTCCGAACAGCTGCCAACAGACAAGCAAAGTCAAGACAATTTACGGAAGGTGTGCAATAAAGATAGTTCCAAGTCAAATGTAATTCGACAAAAACATGGCAACACATCAATCCATCCATCATATCAGACAGCATTTACTGTATGTTATATGATAACTTGGGGGGAAATAAATGCTGAAGGGGGAGGTGCAAGGACATTGTTGAATGGTGCAAACCTATTTAGCAACCAAAACTTAAATCCTGCAATCTGACCCTGAATTGTGGTTTAAGACTACCTGCATCCAAACACTTCATGGTCACGGGTGAGATGGGGTCTTTCCCAATTGACTTTTGGCAAGAGAGGAGGGTACTTCCGAAACTGGTAAATTACAGGGAACATACTTGAGACCTGAGGTCACTGACCTTTTAGAAAAAAACAGAGCTGAATTTGTAGAAAGAACAAATTACCGGTAGCTCAAATTACCTTTAATAATGTTATGATTGAATGCTATTATTAATATTTCATGCTAATCACAAATGTGAAGCATAGATACTGATCAAGTTGATTATATCCCGACTAAGAAACTTCTACAACAGTCCAAGGAAATCACAATGTCCCCTCATTGGTGAGCTATTTTTTAGAAGAGACCCACGGGCCATATTCGTGTAGTTTTTGGGGACTGCCTGGCACAGGCACCATGTTGATGATCCCTTCTCTAGTCAAATTACCACCTATTGACAATGTTTGTTTTTGGAGAAAGCCCATGCAAAGACAAAGAACACGTTTGACTATGAGGGAGATGTGCCACCATGCAGCCTCATCTTCCATCCATCCATCCATTTTCTGATCTGCTTATCCCCACAAGGGTCGCGGAGGGTGTTGGAGCCTATCCCAGCCGTCTTTGGGCAGTAGGTGGGGCACACCCTGAACTGGTTGCCAGCCAGCATCAGGGATCATATAGAGAAACAATCATTCGCTCTCACACTCACAATTTGGAATGCCAAATCAACCTGCCATGCATGTTTTTGGAATGTGGGAGGAAACTGGAGTACCCAGAGAAAACCCACGCAGGCCCGGGGAGGACATGCAAACTCCACACAGAAAGGCAGAAGAAGGAATTGAACCCTGGACATCTGCATTGTGAGGCGGACATGCGAACCAGTCGTTCACCATGCCTCATCATTTTATTGGAAAAATGACATTGGCTTTCATTAAACACACAAACTAAAAAATACACAGGGATTATAGTTAAATGCTAAACTGACGACAGCAAATGTTACGTAAACAAAAATGCAGGAACAATGTCCTAGTTTTCATTTCCTTGGTTTTAAGTAAGACTTCTCAAATTCTTAGTTGAATCCCGGAGGCTCGGCGAGGCACGCTCAGAGGAAATAAATCACATGTGACCGCTAACTTTTTTGAGGCACACCCCACCTTAAATCACATTTACTGATATTAATTGTGTGTCAACAAAATGGTAGCCTGGGGTTAAACCTGAGAAGTGCAGTGCAAGTGCCAACAAAGTAGGCATGGGTTTTTCAAGCCAAATGTCAGAAGCATTAATCGAAAGTAAATCCAAACAGCTTTCATAAGAGCCTGGCCTGTTTGATTATTTCAAAGATTGCCCCTAAATAGGACAAATCAGAATGGATCTGCTCACTGAATGGTTGAAAAGTTTCGACTCAGCAGCTGCCTGATTTGTCTGTCTGAAATGGCTGGAAAGAGCCAAGAGTTAATCGGTGGAAAGGAATGTGATAGATAGCCTGGTTTATCAAGTCAGACCAACTTCACATGAACAAACATTTTCCAAAATGTGTATTTTGCCATGCATTTTGGCCTTTTGTCCACCCACAAACAAGATATCAGGCTGTGGAAATAAATGTGTTATAAATTCAGCAATTGTGTTTGGGAGCAAGAATTAGCATGTAATTGTTTTTGTTTTTATTTAGCCCGTCCCTCACTTATCATGTTAACTGTGTCTAAACTTCCACCACATCTTTTCCACAGCTTTTATTTTTTTTGTACAGTATATGCTTTGCTTTAGGATGGTTTTATCAAGTTTTGCCTAGATAGATAGATAGATAGATAGATAGATAGATAGATAGATAGATAGATAGATAGATAGATAGATAGATAGATAGATAGATAAAATCTTAATGTACATTACTGGGTACCACAAGAGGCTGAAAGTCTGAACAGAACTCAGATATGTATTGAAAGTGAGTGCCTGCATACATGGATGACTCACGTGTCAACATGATTTGTCTGCCAGTGATGACTGAGGTGGTAGTCAAAACAGTGACATGGTTGGGAGGGGGCAGACTGGGATTCCTGAGAGTAGATGGGACCACTGGCGACTGAGATAGCACTCAAAGTGTTTGCACAAGTCACACGAAACAAGCTCAACTGGGGAAAAGAGTCTGCCAACTGCTCTCATTTGAATTGTCCGAGCCTACGAAGAAGTAAACTACAGGTTAAAAAAAAAAAAAAAAAAAAAAAGAATGAATGAATAAATCACACCAACATCACAAAGTGACCCTTCCGTTATTCTGTGTGACATCTGTGCCTGTTTAGTTGATCACCAATCTACTTTCTATTATTCCGTTGTACGATTTGCATTCTATGGAAGCGCACTGCCTGCCGGCGAGCATACACAGATAAAGATTTATTTGATATTCATAAATTATTGTTTTCAGACAAACCGAGTGAAGTTCAATATTTCTTGCAGCACCCCCGAATATCTTTCACTCAACACTTCTGGTTGGGAGTCACTACACCACAGTCCTGACAAAAAGTTGGGGATAATCAGATTTTGGGTAAAATTTCACGATGAACCTAAAAATGATCGTAAGCGTACCAGGAGAACCTGTTCTGACCTTCTCTGTACTTGGTTGCACATGTCCAATTGTTAAGTGTTTCCATAATGTTTTCACATGAATTAGCACATGATCCTTTTTTTTTTTTTTTTTTAAGGATGGGTCACTTAAATCTACAGAGATATAAATCCAGCTTTTGCACAGTGCTTAATTGACTTCTGTGTTATAAACAAAGAGGGAACATTGACTAACAATAGCTGCGACTGTCATGCATGTATGTGTGAATGTTTTGTGAGTGCAAAGCTGTGCCTAGCATGACATAGCTATGTGTCTGAAGGCTTGACACATGAATGGACAATCGTGATTTGTGTCGAGTCCCATGACGGGCACGCGCACAGCCCTGCACATGTGAAAAAAAAACCTGAGGCAGTGAGGGCATGATTCCAGTCAAACACATATCTAAATATTAAGATACAAAATTGAAAGTTATTCCAATCCAAGGAAGTGCACTTTGATCAGGTATACCATCATCGCTTTCCAGAAGTCAAACAGAAACTCATCTCTTTTTTTTTCCTCGATGCATTGCCATTGTAAACCAAAATAACATTTTGTTGAATTAATGTACACTACATTGATGGAATGTGAATATTTTGGTCAACAAATGCTCAGTTTCTGTTACCGGTAGTACCAGTCTGAACAATAACATAGTGGTTGAAATTTCACGAGAATGCCATTTATGAGCCACAAAGTTACCTAGAATTTAGTGTTTACTGCACCACTGAGTCAAGCAAGCAAGCACACGGCGTACCAGAACAGCGGGGAGCAGACACACCCCCTTCACCAAAGCTTCACTGAATGAAAGTCACTTTCTCACACATTACATAGGCTTGCCACACATTACTGTTGATGTGAAATTGAAAAGTAACTGACAACCTACCCAATGGGCCTCCATTGCTCTCTTCGGGCTTCGTACCTGGTTTCTTTTCTTGATCTACAGTCTGTGCACTGGATGACGAGCAACCCATGATGCGGGGAGAGGGGAGAAAAAAAACTTTTAACTAAAAGTACTGTCGTACCGGTAAATACGAATTCCACTTGACAAAGATGGAGAGTTTGTAGCTGTGATCACATGCACAGCTCGGCTCCTTGTGTGCTTGTGTGATCATGCGTGGCCTGATGTCCCCCAAACATCTGTTCTTCACTCTTCCCAGTCTACCTCATGCGCACCCTCGCATTGTTCACACAGGAGGAGGAGGAGGAGGAAAATGAGGAAGAGGAGGAGGCCAGGAGGCAAACATGTATGAAAAGTGCCTCCTCTCCTTCCTCACCTCACCGGTGTGTTTCCTCCCCTTCCGACAGAACGGAACCACCTTGTGGTCATATGTATGGTAGCATGTGAGCAAAGAATGTCGCTTTGAAAAAGACGTGTAAATATTACACGCGTTATTAGCAACTACAGCAGTATATATATCGCCATTAAATATATGGAGAGTTTATTGTCACTTAACTGTACAAAGACTTATGTATCAATGAAACAACAACAAGCTCTATTAAAAATATACATGTAATATTTAAAATTGTTTTGCCTGTAAATGTTGTTTGTGTTTGTTTATGCGGCACACTGAGTTACCTTGTGTATGAAATGCACTGAATTGATAAAGCTGTTGTGCCTTTCTGTTCCACATGCTGTACTTGTATATGGAACAGTTGATTTATGTGGCCTGAAAGACCAAAGAGAAAAGTCAGTGAACATTATGAAGACTATTTTGGAGGAATATTTTATCCCCGGTTGAGTAATAGTTGATGGAAAAACGAGGTCATCATCATAGTTCCAAACACTGATGATAAACAATTAGCACTTTGGGGAAATTGTCATATCTTACAAACTCTTTCCAAGGGAACTTGTCAGATAAGAATACAGAGAAAGTCCCATCAACAATAACAACTAAACATCCAAATGATGTGACAAGTAAATGTTAGTATAGTGTGATTCTTATAGTGTACAAAACTATGAAACACAAGCATGTGAAATCTCAATTTGAGTTTAATGCATGAGAAAACATCATTTTTTTCACTTTGATTGCACATCCCAGCGGGGGATTGGCCTTCTGGAAAACATTTATCCCAAAAGCACGTTTGTGTGTTTTTTTTTCACATAACAGAACCCGTTCTTCATTGAAAAAACACAAATGGATTAATTTTGCCCATGTAACATAGAAGTCCGATGACGTCGTCACATCATTCCCATATGTAACTTTATAATAAGACTGTGTGAACCAATTTCCATTCACTCAAAACTACCATAGTTATACAATTTAGACAAAGATCTTTTTTTTTTCTTTCTCATCAGCAGAAAGACAAAACAAATCACACGGCATTAGATTAGGACACTCTCAAAACACGTTTTTGTCAATGTTATATTCTGAGGTGGTGTCCATCGAAGAGAACACCAGTGCAGTATAAACACAGTAAAAGCATTCCAGCCTGGTCATGAGCAGAGATGCAACGGACAGGAATCATGTCAACTCATTACTCATCTGCTCTGGGCATTGATTGCTTGAGCATGACACAAAGAGAAAGTACAGCAATAATAAAAATATATATATAATCTCTCGTCTATCAAACAATTTGTTCATTCTTAATGGTAATATCACCAAACTTGAATGCATACAATATTCCAGGAATTCCTCAAATGGATGGAATTAGAGTGTGTATGGGACTAATGAGATACATAAGTAAGGGTTAGGTCACGCCGGTGTTATGGTGTGTGCATTTTACAGTATGCGTGTGTGATTACTTTGTTCATAAAAAAATGTGTGCAGAAAAAACATGAGTTTGAGGGACATCGGAGAGGCAGTGTGGTGCACATATGGATTGTATTAATTAACATCAGGCTCCACTCAGAGGGATCCGGGCGATGTTCTCATGCTGTCATTGTGGACAAGGACAGATGGGCACCCTGTTTGCTAGGAACATTGACACAGTCATCATATGGAGGAAGCAGGACCTGTAAAAAAAAGGGCAAGAACACACACTATTAAAAAGGAGGGATTACCATATCTTCCGCACTATAGTGCGCAGCTAAAAGCATTCAATTTTCTCAAAAGCTGACAATGCGCCTAATAATCCGATGCACCTTATTGATGGACCAATATTCTGATTTGATGGATGTAGTATTTTAAATGTTCTGTAAAGCGCTTTGTTACAGCTACAGCGGTTGTGAAAGCTCTATAAAAATAAAGCTGTATTTTTTTGTTGTATTCCTTTGGCGTAGCTCCATCTAGTGGATGCATAACGAACCGCAGCCACTACTGTAGTTTCTATTCTATCCACCTTATAATGCGGTGCGTCCTATATATGAAAACAATTTTAAAATAGGCCATTCACTGAAGGTGCGCCTTATACTGCGGAAAATACGGTACTCTAGCGCTCCCACTACATTCCCACTCTCATGTTACTCCTCTCACAACATCAACCAATTCAAAATGAGACATAAATGATGCAAGAAACATCGTCAAGGTCGTTCCATGCCACGTGACTCGGTGGGTGTGACCAAGCAGATTTTCATTTTAAGGAAACTCTGTGTACTTCTTAATAGTAATGGCACAACACCAAATCTCAATTTTAGGTCAATCAGAGCGGTGTTGATGAAAATGAAAGCCAAGGCCAACAGGGGAAAAAAAAAAAAAATGCAGCAAAATGTGAAGCTCACCTCAGGATTCATGGTACTGAGATAATATACTTTGAATGGCTGATGTTGAAGTGAAGCTTGTTCTTTCTTTGAGAGGTTCTCATTGCTCCATGCAGAGATCTTAGCAGAAAACACGCACTGATAACAGTGTTGTCAATGAAAATCAAATCAAAGTGGTCACTCGTAGTGGCAACGTAAGATGGCTGCCCTCTGACTTAAGCCGCAATGGGCCAATTCATATATACGTCGGTGCAAGGAGTGCGTCCTGCATTTACTGAGATAACACAACAGAGTGATTGACTAAATCAGTAGGTAGGGGCATTTTACCATGACATGCGGGATTTAAACGCAAAATGCTGGCAAATTGTGAAAATACAAAATTAATAACATTTCCCCATAAATAATAATAATAAGCACAAAATATCGAAATGGAAAACCTGGAACCGGCTTTAGTAGACTTGCTTTGGTTGTCATGAGTCGCTGGGATCTTGTTTTTGTTTTTGTTTTTGCCCGCCAGTTCTGTCTCTTTCTGTGTTTTCCCTTCTCCCCCCCTAAGTGGCGTGACTGCTAATGGAGGGTAAAGCAACAAGGTGCCTCTGGACTAAAACTGCCGTAAGACCGCTTTGGGTTCCAAAACAGGGTATATTATCTCATTCATCATAATTAGTTACTTGGCAGAACTACGCAAAAGCAGTATAAATAAATAAATAACAGTAGCACCGATCAAATGGTGGTCACAATGGTCAAATAAACAAACTGAAATAGCTGCACTGTACTTTGTGGAAGGTAAGTACATACTTGAAGTTGTGAAGTTCTTTTAAAAGTGAAGTCAAGGTGTACTTTTGTGATTGATGAATGTGACTTGTTGGTTTATGAAATTAGACATTCTCTTTAAGAGATTGATGCAATTCCCATGTGGTATTGTGCTGGCTACGCGATAATCATAATACAGTCCATCTTCTGAACAAGAAGCGAACGGAAGCTTCTCTTCTTTGTGACTCAACATGCATATAAAGCTCACCCTTGGAAGGCAACTGCAGCATTATGTCTGACCTACAGAGGCCACATTGTAAACAATGAGTCACTCAGGTTTCACTCAGGGCAGACTTTTATTGCCAAGCGAAACCGTTCTAATCTCATAAAGAGTAAACACACGCTCAGTAATCAATATCCTTTGATAGCCTGTAACTGTGATTAGTTCTGCCTCAAACAATCAACGTGTGGCTCAGCTTTATTCCCAGTTGGCTGACTTGACAGACGGACAAATCCACAGAAAAGCCAAACACTGTCGAGAGCACACCATTTCAAAGACTGGTGCCTACTGGAAAATGAAGACCCACCTCACACAAAGAATTTGTGAAAATGTGGTCTTTTACAGATCACTCACGGCCAAATGAAACACCTGACTGCACATGTGTGATGGTATAGAGTATGTCTGGAAGAGACATCAAATCTGTGCAAACTGTATGAGGCCATCACATATGAGCAATAGAAATAAAGTTTCACACAGGCGGCCTGACCAGCATATGGTTTGATTTTTTTCCCACGTGTTTTTAAAGTGAAACAGTTAAACAGAGAATAAGATGAGCCCAAAAGTTCCAATTCTTGGTTTAACTGGTTTTATACACTGTATTCCGTAAGGATATTTTTTTCGATGCTCATGGATAGAATAAATCGCCCATTGGCCTCAACTCCATGTCACTGGCACAATCTGATGAGAATCAGGATAAGAGCTGTGTCGATTCTGGAACACTGTGATGATCAGTTTAAATTCGTAGGCATTCATTTGACAATCTGTTTATTATTGCACTTGTACTTTGAAGTGATGTAAAACTATACTGCATCATCCTGAGGACTATTTGTGATTTTGTGACTTACCGTTGTGTCATTGGTTGTGACATAAAGCAGGATTTCAGCAGTGCCGCGGCTGCAAACATATCTGTAGCAGTTCCACACGCAGGCTATCAGGTAAGCCTGGTGGAAGACAAAAAGAAAGTATGACAACAGTGAAAAATATAAAACCAATACTTTGGAGTTAATTCATGATACAGGAGTGAATGATGTCAATTCTATTACATACACGGAGCTAAGACTTACATAAGTTTAACCGTAGCACCCAGAATATACGTGATCTACTTTTCCACAAAATGTCAATTCTAGTGTTCCAAAATATAATTAGGTCATGTTGTGATGTAGCTTTGTGCAACAATGGGCACATCAAAATTACCTCGTGCACTGTACAGCATAAAGTGGGAGTGAATGAACATGATCGAGGTCCTATGGAAAGCCATTCCATTTATTTGATATCCTACTCGGGTGTTGAATTGTCCAAGTACATTACTAGAAAACTCTTTGTCCTCTCTAGTAAGACAATTCAAATTCAGCACATTACGAGGCCTCTAACTAGCAAAAGTTTTCCCACTTCTTTAGAACATTTCTATGCACTCGTAGAATGACTAAGGCACACGACGAGAATAGCTCGTAGTAACTCTTGTACGTGTTACTAGTGCAGCACTACTGTGCACAAGTTTACATTTGTCCACTAAATTCTACCACTTGGCTAGTAGTACACGTAACCCAGTTCCCTAACTTCATGGATTTAAATTTGAGTTCCAGAGCTGCCAACCTACAACAAGAGCTGCCAACCTACAACACTTCCATAGCAATTGTCCGAATTTCCATATTTTGTACATTTTGTCAAAAAGAACACTACCGCGCAACGCCTATTGCAGCGTAGTATGCAAAAGGATAAAAAGAATTATGCAATTGTTACTCTAGAACCATAACTGTTTAAATACTCTGGCTTCGGTATTTATTGTAATGTACATATTGCGATAACAGTGGAATGGTGCAGACAGGTGGAGTCGGAATCATAATGAGATTTCATTTGTGTTCCATCATCAAAAGTATGCGTATCCATGGATGAATGAGCTTTTATCGATTCTGTTTTCAAGTGTGCTGAAAAGAAGAATGCACTTCAATGAGTAGAACGTACCTTAAAGCCCAGGATACAGCTGATGAATATCAGCACAATGAGAACCAAGCACACATTACTCAGTGCAGCAATCTCCTCTTTGTAAGGGAAATTGTCAGGCTAAAGAGGAAAGAGCAAAGTGTGTATCTCAGGAGCATACACAGATGACATCCTTTCACGTTGTCACTGAGCCTACAATATATGAGGAGTCTTACCAGTTGCTGCAGGTAATCCTGTATCGTGTTTGGATAAACCACAATGCTCACAGCAACTAGGGTGTTGAGTGCAAAGTCAAAGATCTGGTAGCAAAAAAATGGGATGATCCAGGCAGCACGCAACTGAAAAAGAGATTTGGTTGGAGACTGAAGATGAGTTTGCATGAGCTGCTGAGGCCTAAAAAGCCAAACACGACTTAACCTCTGTTCCAAGGAGAATATACATATGTGTACAATAATTTAGATTTCTTCTTTAGAGGCTACTCTGTGGGTACCATCTCAAATAAACCCAACTACTGTGAATTGTCTCTTGGGACAGAACAAAGCATTGCGAGGATGCATACTCCTATAGCACTGTCACATACGGGGGGCTTTAACCAAGGATTGAGATGTCGAGGGAAATAAATGGAAACGTATAAAATCAAATGTATAATTTTACCTTGAATGCACCATATGTTGCCATCCCGCATATGAGTATCATCAGCAACGAGATGGCCGAGGCAATGCACATGTCTGAAGCAGAAAGACAAGACAAACATTTTGAATCTGCAAGACAATATACAACAAAAACGCAAAAGGTGCACTGGTAAAAGGGCATGTTATTATTTAGACTATCATTAATCGAAAATTGACTTTGCTTTTGTAGCACCATCACACAAACTAAGTGCCATGCAGTCACCAAGATCCCCCACAGGTACAACGCCACTGCGATCATATCAAAGTCAAAAAGTAAGCAGAGCTGCACCGAGTTTTGTTAGATCCACAGATTAGCATTAGCACATTAGCTCTTGAAAAGCATACACGTGATTTCTTGATGAAGTTGTCAGCAGGGTCTATTAATGTTTTGTGTTGTGTCCATACAGTGTCGCCTTAGTGATGAGTATGAACTGTTGTAGCCACCAGTTCAAATACTTTTATTGTCTTTCGGGGTTGTCACTTTTTTGACAGTTGGGGCTCTGCTCTCGCAAGTAAAAGACCTGTTCACTTGTTCTTTTTTTCACCATAGTCATTGTGGTAACAAAATTTTTCTCTCCATTGGCCCAGAAGTAAATGGGAGTGGGATGGACTCATTTCAGCGAGACAAGACACATGGTGCACAAAGTGACCAATAACCTTTAAACATTGGGGTATTTCAAAGATGGCATGTCACAGTTATAGCCTGGAAACTGATGTGAACAATGCATCATATGTTTCATTTAATAGTAATAATTACAAATTCTAGCACCACGGGGCGGGAAAGGAGCAGTGATAGGGACCTAACACTGCTGCAAATAGCAAAAACTGTGACTAATTAATCCAATGGCCTATAATTGCCACATGATGGTGGCAAAGGCCAACTCTTCTCAAAACGAAGCTCCTCAATTCACATTCATTTATATACTTGACACCAAGCTGCCACCAGATGAGTCACAAAAACAGCAAATAGGTGGTCTTTTAATGAATACCGGATGATAGGTGGAAAAAAAATATGAAGAGGTAAATTATGACAAACTGTGAATATTCTAGTGTTCACTGTAATTGAAATGGAGTTACTGTGTTTTTATTAGTGTATCTTGAATTGACTCTTCCTATCTTGCCTGTAACATTCAAGGGGACCCGGAATGGCAAAGCATCTTTGGACAGAAGGTCCTTCATTTCTTTTGCCCTACTTCATCAAACATTTACAGTTCCTGCCATTATCATAGAAGGGTCAGGTTGTACAATTCATAATAGATGACCCTGTTCATTCCTTCAAGGGTTTCATTCTAATTTATCGCAGTATCAAATTGTGCCGTTTTGATTGAAGCGAAACGGTCCCAAAGCACTCACATGACAGAAAAGTATCAGCAGGCAGCTTAAACCCTCAAAAGTAGGACACTGGAGTCCAAAGGCTAACGGTGGCTCTCACAGCGTCCCGCCTGTCAAATTGTTGAGTGCACACCTGCGCCAACAGTTAAGGAGGCTTTTCCAGTGATTGGAACCTTGGACATTAAGCTTGTATGCCGTGCACTGTGCTTGGTATTTAAAAAAAAAAAAAAAAAAACGTGCTCTGTACATCTGTTGACATGTACACACATTTGGACTCTCTGTGACACTGATGGGACTAAGGAACCAAGTTCTTTGAACAACTTACTGGCATCATCCATGACATCCAAGTCATTAGCCAACTCAGCGCTGGTCAGGTGGTACTGCTCGGGATCACTGAGCGCCGTGAGGAGGATGAGTAACACCACAGCGTTGATGAGCTTAGGGACACACAACATATGGGCAGATAAGACCGACAATGTGGACAATGTTGGTTCGATGACGAAAACCCAAACTTGCCCTCTCAAGAAATCAGAATACAGCATTGAATATAGAAATTAGGCAGAAATTGACCTTCTGGAAAGTATTTCCCTCTGTGCTCAATGTATCTACTAGAGTTTTACTTCTTGAACTGAACTACGGAAACAAATAACTAATCTCCAAAACGTCAGAACAGTAATAAAGATACTGGAAAATTAATCTTTGCGATTGACTAGCAACCAGTCTAGATTGTTTCCCGCCTCTTACCCAGAGTCAGCTGCTTTAGTCTACAGCTCAACCACCACCCTAATGAGGACAAGTGATCAAGAAAACGGATTGATGAATGGATGAATAACTAACGCTAATAGTCAATTCCGAATTTGAAAGAGCTCCGTTACAGCAAGTCAATGTGCAGGTGCATCTCACGAGGTGTCCAATGCGTGCATAATATTGATGTAAAAGTATTTAAATGGAGTGAATAAGGTTGATGATTTTGGTCTGGCCAAGCACAGCCTTCCAGCAAATGACTCATGCACGGAAAATTCAATAGGCAGCCTGTAACAAAAGCAGGCCGCTACCTGAGGAGGCCCACAGTTAATTTATTCATTGGCAGAGTCACAATATTTTTCCACGTGTGCTACGGTTTCCCCTCTCCCTTACAATCACACCATGGAAAGTTATCTAAATAAGAAACAGCACATAATCACTACTTGTCATTTAGTTCAAAGACAATACATTCTCATGTCTTAATTCTCACATTTGATCTGCCTTGAACACCAGCAACATCCAGCATATTATGCATAGGCATTTACATCATGTACAGTATTCAAAATGAAATGTAACATCGAGCACGTTTATACATAGGCATTTACATCATGTATTCAAAATGAAACACACGGCTAAAATGAAAGTAAATGTGCTCTCGTCGATACTACAGCTAGTGGATGATTGCTGATAAGCGGTGCTCACCATGTACCAAACCCCCAGGATGATGGTTCCTGTGCGGACATGACAGCAAAGACAGCAGCTTGCGGAGTACCACAGGTCCCACGGGGAAGTCGTCATCATGTCAACCTTTTCAAACAATGTCGGCGCTCCCTCGCAGCGTGCCTCCCCAGTCCACACCAAGCAACGACAAAACACCCCTGGCCCCTGCTTCTTATTTATCTCTGTGAGCAGATTAACGGTGCAGAGCGCCACCGTCAAAATTCCGGAACATATTCAACACAACTTCCGGCCTTCAAAATAAAACAAAATTTCGCTCAAACTTGATAAATTATTTTAACTCCTACAGCATCCTAAAGGGCCACATTTGATTTTTAAACCGGAGAAAATTGGGGCAAATCTGCAGAGAGAGAGAGAGAGAGAGAGAGAGAGAGCGAGAGAGAGAGAGATTTATCCATATATTTTTTATTTACCAATTTTATGGAAAATGGGCTAAATTCATGTTGTGAATAGCACAGGACTCTTGGTAATGCTTGATGGACCGCATGAATGAAAGCAATGAACCATGTGCACCTTCATTAACCTATACTCCTGATGTACAGTCATCCCTCGTTTATCGCAGGGATGACATTCCAAAAAAAAAAAAAACGTGATAAGTGAAATCAGTGAAGTAGTCATCTTTATTTTTTACAATTATTTCGTCTACAATCATGAATGACACCAAAGATTAACCAATTTTTAGGCCCAAGCATAAAAAGAAAAAATGTTTTCTTATAAACGACTGTGTTTTTAGAAATACTGTACAGAATGTTTCGTCCATGTGGGTAAATTTGGCAAACTGTACAGTGATGAGGCACAGATTGTTGACATTAGTCTACAGGCTCTTAGCCATCAGGATGCAGAACAATACACTGGGAAAAAATGCACACAAAAAAAAATAATAACTTTGATTCTCATATTGTTTTGAAGTGAAAATGCAAGATTGAAGTAAGAAAAAAAATAATGATCAAAGATTCCAATTGATTTCCATTACTGTTGCCAAGGATGGCACAACCAGTTATACGCTTCGGGGGGCAATTGCTCTTTCACATAGGACCGGTTAGGTTTGAATCTTTTACTTTTAATAAAATGGATTAGAAACTGTATTTTGTATTAAGTGACTTGTCTTTACATATTATATAGTGTCTTTGAATAGTCGCCAACATGATAGTTTAAAATAAATAAATAAATAAATCTGAAGTGTCCAACATCACGTCTGGCCTGCTATATATAACCTGTTACAGATTAAGTGTGTCTAAAATGTCAGCCCAGAATGTAACTAGGAACTATAGTAGCGTTAAAAGTGTCAATAGCATGGATTTGTCTGACTCCAAGTTATAGCATTAAAATGGCAGTCGCAGGTACTAAGTTTCCGCGTAAAGCCAGCTGAACAATAAATTGGGGGGGAAAAAAAACAGTTCACAGTAATTTTGGTCTTTAACATATGGCTTCAGCTTTACTTTTATTACAAACATTTTTTTTTACAAAAGAATATTTAGACTTGATAATCAACTAAAGCTGGAAAATCAAGGTTGAAGACAGAGCATCTTCAGAGGGTCCAACGTGTCTCCGGCAACAGATCGTATACAGTATGTTGTAAAAATCGGAAGGGATCGGAAGCCTCAGTACAACAGCTAAGTTAATAAACAGGATGGACAGAGTCTGCTGAAATCTGACAGACCATGAAAAATACACTAGACATATTCAAGCACTGCTGAGTCAAAATGTCCAAATTAACATCTGACCTTTTGTCACTCGATGCTCACTGTACAGCTGACAAAACGAAAGGCCAGTTCAGCAAAATGTTGACATGCTGAGAAACCTCATAGTCACCACAACATTTTCTTTACATCTATATTTCTAATGACTAGCTCCTTCACTTAGTTCAATCAATGGAATTACAAGACAGTATCAAAAGCATGTTTAAAAATTAATTCACAAAGCATGACATTAGATTAAGCTGCTTGTAGGGGTCACGTTTCCATGACCTCTGTGTAAAATGTTCGCGTTTTTTTTTCAGTCAGGATTTAAGGTAAGTCCATTCGCTTGACCGTAGGTCCGTGTTGTTTGAAAGTTGTTGCATAATCAGGATGACAAGTCTTGCATATGGTTGAATGCAAAGCGGACTCATGTCTCCCTTCTTGCCTTCTTCTTCTTTGACAGTTTGACGACCTGGATTTCCTCAGGTTTTTCTATTTAAAAAAAAAAAAGGGTTATGGGATTCAGTCTTTCTCCATTTATTTTAACTCATCTTAAAGAGGCCCCTCCATCATAATGTTTTATGCATATGTCAAACTGAGTCTGTGACGTGATTTAAGTCTGACATCTACAGTGCATCTGGAAAGTATTCGCAGCGCTTCACTTTTTCCACATTTTGTTATAGCTTCATTTCCAAATAGAATGATTTCATTTTTTTCCCACAAAATACTAAACAACACCCCCCTATACGACAGTGTGAAAAAAATATATGTTGAATTTTTTGCAAATGTACAAAAATACTAAAACTGCTTAGATTAAGCTATTCTCCATGAAATGTGCCGAACAATGCAGTTCTGGCGCACAAAACTGGTGGTCACAAGACGCCAACATATTGGGAAATAACCAATCAGAGGAAAACTGTTAGCCATACCAAATTAAGGAGAAACAAAAACCTAATCGGAGAAAAGCTTACTTACATATTTAATATTTTTGAATGACAAAATGGACTCTTCAAAATGAGTTACTTCTGACCAACAAAAATAGCTTGAAAAAATGGCATCCAGCTAATTTTAAACCCAATTTATCTTGCAAATGAGATCAAATGATAAAGACAACAAATTAAAAAAAAAAGGGCACATTATTATTGTCACCATCTTTTTCCCCTCAATCATCATAAGTCTATATGTCAATCTATTAAAAAAACACACAAGAAAAAACGGCTACGTAACACTACCATGCAGTTAAATCAGATGAAGATTAAAAACTCAACAATGACAATATTATAATACAGCTGTGAGTAAATGGAAAGTGGTCAGGCTACTGTACTCACGCTGTTGTGTTGGAGCAGGAAGATTAATGTGAGCAGTGCTATGTCCCTCGGGTTGCTTCAGTGGCACTTGAGCGGCGAGAGGTTTCTGAGACGTGCTGTCTTTCACTGGGCGCTCCAACTGCACCTACAGCGCAAGTGAGACTAAATATCAGCTTGGAAAAGCACACCGTAATTACAAAGTTGAGTTTTAAAGTTGAATAAGGACTGGTTATTCTTTAACTCGGCAAAACATGGAAGTTGTGTGTACACTACACATCAAGTGGCATGATCTAATATCTCAGTACCACCAACCTCGACAGGAGCAGCAGGATGCTCCTGAGCAGATGGCTGCTGCTTGGGTTTTTTCTTCTTCTTTTCCTTCTCATCCTTTAATAGGGATGTAGGTTCTAACTTCTTCTCTGGCACTTCAACCTAAGCGGGATATTGTGCCGGCAGAGTTAGAATGAAGATGTTTTGTGAGCTGGTGATGAAAATGTGATCAACTGAAATCTATCCCTGAAAATGACAAAGTCCAAAGTCGAAGGTTCCCACGATGAAAAATGACACATGAAAGCATCAAACTGCCACGTTCATGAAAGGCTTCAAAGCTACAGGCAATATTCTACAGCTAACATTTTAACACGGCATATCAATAAATGAAAAATACAATAAAGCAAACAGGCTTAAGATGTCAATCATACAGCATGTAGCGTAAACGTTCAACAAATGACCTATTCCTTGATTTATTCCAGTGGGAGACAAAACAACAAAAGGAAAACTGCACAATTTAAGATGGATTTTGAAGCTATTGATGGAATTTAAATGTGTAGTTGAGTATACAATACATACAAAGATCTGCTTGCTAAGAATGTGTGCATATATTTATGTGTTCGGTGAATTGCTCAAAATGCATAAAGAAGCAAATCTATTGTCTCAAAAAAAAAAAGCAAAACACATTTATGAAGGTAATCTGAGCATCTTAGAAAATGTGTTGACAGTTTGCCAAGTTTTGCTTGACATTTGACCTATATTATTCCAGAACATTTTGGTTGAACTGCTTATTGTAGCTCGTGTGAAAACAGTTGTCATTGATAACCACTCACATCGATCAATATTCATATGCGTAAGGGTGGAGACATTTTTACTGGCGGTTACCTGGCTTGCTTCTTCCTCCTGAGCCACCTTTTTCTTTTTCTTCCTCTTCTTTTTGTTTTTGGCACCTCCATCAGCAGCGGTCTCTCCATTGTCCTTTTCATCTTCATCATCTTCCTCCTGACAAAAACATGCACATATGAAGTGGTTTAAATTCTAACCATCAGACATGCAAGTCCACCCATGTGTACATTGAGTACACTAAAAAGAAACTTTGGAGGATTTTTTCTTATGGCGCTATGGTAGTAAACATGATTATCGTAAGTGGTCTAACCTTGTCCATTCGGCTGTTGACTGACATACACTAAAGAAAAGCAAGGACAGATTGTCACTTAATATTGAAACTATTTAAAAGGTTATCGACGAAGTAGTATATTTGGAAACTTTTCTGAGAAGTCTCAGAGAACTGAACTGCAGAAAAAGAAAACTCTCCCTCAAGCATAACGTGATGATGACGTTACCCCAGCGGAGCAAGAGCTGCTCAACAGGTCCAAAGGAGCACAAAAAAAAAAGATTGCGCCATCTGCTGGTGGTCAAGTTAAAGACAACGTAGCAGGTAAGAGTTGCAATGACACCAATTTATAAATACATTCAGGTAATCAATTTGTACGGTTAAGAATTATATTAATGGCCTCGTGGCCGACTGGTTAGCGCGTCGGCCTCATAGCGCAGAGGTGCAGGGTTTGATCCCGGCTCTGGCTTTCCTGTGTGGAGTTTGCATGTTCTCACCGTGCCTGAGAGGGTTTTCTCCGGGTACTCTGGTTTCCTCCCACATTCCCAAAACATGCATTGCAGGTTAATGGAACACGCTAAATTGTTCCGAGGTTTGAGTGTGAGCGCGGATGGTTGTTCATCTATGTGTGCCCTGCGATGAGCCGGCAACAAGTTCAGGGTGTCCTTTGCCTACTGCCCGAAGACAGTTGCGATAGGCTCCGGCACACACCGCAACCCTTGTGAGGATAAGCGGATCAGAAAATGGATGGAGTTATATTGACATGCATGGTAACAGATTGCTTAAGTGTTGCAGTAATAAAGTGCCATCCAAAAGTATTGCAACGGAAAGGTCAATTTTTTTGTATTTGTAGTATACTGGGTTCAAAATTATAGCTTTTACTTCATAGATGTGTTAAAACAACTCAGCAGAGAGCGCCTTTCGTTTGAAACCACCCATTTTTCACATGTATTCCATTCCTCCCCAAGACTGGCGGCATGTGCGCATGTAGGGGAGCCAATGCGTCGGCCATGTGATGCAATGCGGCCATTGTTTCCCATGCATACGCGGGAGTATAAAGAGGCCTTTAGACTAGCCAAAGCCAATCACCAGACTTTAACTCAATAGAGCATGCATTTTGCCTCCTGAAGAGGAAACAAGGGAGAAACTCACTGAAGCAAACAAGAAATGAAAGAGGCTGCAGTAAAGGCCTGGAAAAACATTTCATATTAGGAATGCAAGAGCCTGGTGAAGTCAATGGGCCACAGGCTTGATGTCGTTGTTGCAACCCTGGGTTATGCCACCAAATATCAAATGTTATTCAGTTGAAATTAATTTAACGTGTGTTCCAATATTTTTGCTCACTTGAAAAGTGGGTGGTTTCAAACAAAACGGGCTCTGACCTGAGTTGGTGAACACATCTACATGTAAATATCATGAAATAAATATGGATTACTGAAGTTTTGTCTTGTATTCATCTTTTGATCAGAAACCGAAATGTTTTTAGTACACAACAAAAATAGAGGGATTGACCTTGCGTTTCGATACTTTTGGAGGTGACTCTCTCTTAAGGCTCGCCTGCGTTTTAGACTCATCATGCACTATAATTGGGGTTTACAGGGTTCCCACTCTTCTCTTGAAATTATTTTATGGGACCATCTGCTGTAGTAAGAGACAAGTTATCACAAGCGACTAATAAAATCCACCCCCAAGCTTTCGAGAAGTGTTATGTTCTTCACACGGGGCGCTGTACCGGCAAGAAGCTGGAAGCTGAAAAGCGCTACATCTCAATACTGCCCATTGAAAACAGCTGAAAACAAACACGCATTACATGTCCGTTTAAACCATTTGCATTCACCCACAAGGCAGAAAGAAGCAGAGGGAGGAACATTTTTCAACTCAGATTTTACAGGAGATTTTACTTTTTTCTCATTTTAACTGGAAAATTGAACAATCATTTTCCAGGACATGGGGGAACCTTGCGGAAATGTTAACTTTTGATTGACAGAAACTAAGGTTTCATTATCATGGTTGTAGGTTAAAGTGGTGTTGCACCCAACTGCATTTACACTACAGTAAGAAAGGTGCATCTCGTGTTTTGCACATCCTATGTAGTTGTAGTGCGACTATAATATAATCATGTGAAAGCCTTGTTAAATTCATACCTGTCAGCAACAATCAAAAGCAAGTGTTATCTTTAAACAGGCTGACATTTTGATTAAGTTCTTAAATTTGATTATTTGTATAATGTATTGAGACATTAGGTGCTTTCAGCCAGGAGGGCAGCTACCAGGGGGTCCAAAGCCCTCGGGAGCCATCTATCATTGTTTTAAATGGCACTAGGGCTCTCAAAGGTCTTACTTACAGGAGCTCCACTCAGCAGATTTTGTTTAGCGGGCTCACTTCGAGGCTGCTCGTGAACAGGAATGGGGCGGGGTGTGGGTTCCTCATAGTTGCCCCAAAGTTCAGAAGGGGCGTTCCAATCAGAGCTGGGATCTGCTGAACCACCATCTGAATTGGAGTAAAAAAACAATTGGAGTAAATATGAGGCAGAGAGAGTACATCGTTCTTAGTGCGTGTGCATGCGTTGGGGGCGGGGTAATGTTCGGAAGAAAATTCTTACTGAATCCGGACCACTCATCATCTACTTTTGGCTGACTGAGCCATGATGCGTTATCCACCAGCTGCGGATCTAAACACACAACACACCATGAATGCCATGCTTTTTTCCCCCCCTCAAATGGTGAGGGAAATAATACAAATGTATTGCACTTACCAGCTGTGCCAACACCCAGTTTAGTAAAGGGAACTAGATCAGATGGAATCCTATCAATCACAGTCCATGAATCTAGGGGTGAAAAAAACATGTACTTTTCATATGAATGCTATTATCCAAATAGTAAAGTGGGCAGATGGGGATTCTGTTATTTGTATTACTTCCACTAATGTGAGACTGAATTTATTTTAAACCATGGAAAGGACCATATGAGTATTTTATGTCTAGATATATCGAGCAGTATGAGAACAACACCGTGCTTTTCACAACAGTGGACAAACTGTGCATTTTATGCTGAAGTTAAACACCAATTTTACAGAATGGAGCGAGCATTTAAGCCCAATTCTGGATTTTCACCGCTTTAATGACAGATGACGAGTGAGCAACAAGTCGCCATTTCAGTTAGTGACATGCCAGCAAGCCCTCAGCCAGCGAGGGCTCAGCTCATTGTGAAGTGTAACAGAAACCCCCTGCGACAAGAGCTGAACTGCAGTCACAGTAATAAGTCTCAGGTGTGTATTCACAATTTTTTTTATCTGATACAGTGAGGCTTTTATCATGGGTTGCCTCTTATAAGCATCATTCACACCTGTTGCAGTTACTTGTGACATAAACTAAGTTTGGACTGCAGACAAATGCGACCCTAATTGGATTTTTTTTGCCCTTTTGTGACCTGTATGTGATTTTTTTTATGGCAATCTGAACAGTTCAATTTCGATTTTTTTTTTTCAAATCAAACTATGCCACCAAATATCAAATGTTATTCAGTTGAAATTAACGTGTGTTCCAATATTTTTGCTCACTTGAAAAGTGGGTGGTTTCAAACAAAACGGGCTCTGACCTGAGTTGGTGAACACATCTACATGTAAATATCATGAAATAAATATGGATTACTGAAGTTTTGTCTTGTATTCATCTTTTGATCAGAAACCGAAATGTTTTTAGTACACAACAAAAATAGAGGGATTGACCTTGCGTTTCGATACTTTTGGAGGTGACTCTCTCTTAAGGCTCGCCTGCGTTTTAGACTCATCATGCACTATAATTGGGGTTTACAGGGTTCCCACTCTTCTCTTGAAATTATTTTATGGGACCATCTGCTGTAGTAAGAGACAAGTTATCACAAGCGACTAATAAAATCCACCCCCAAGCTTTCGAGAAGTGTTATGTTCTTCACACGGGGCGCTGTACCGGCAAGAAGCTGGAAGCTGAAAAGCGCTACATCTCAATACTGCCCATTGAAAACAGCTGAAAACAAACACGCATTACATGTCCGTTTAAACCATTTGCATTCACCCACAAGGCAGAAAGAAGCAGAGGGAGGAACATTTTTCAACTCAGATTTTACAGGAGATTTTACTTTTTTCTCATTTTAACTGGAAAATTGAACAATCATTTTCCAGGACATGGGGGAACCTTGCGGAAATGTTAACTTTTGATTGACAGAAACTAAGGTTTCATTATCATGGTTGTAGGTTAAAGTGGTGTTGCACCCAACTGCATTTACACTACAGTAAGAAAGGTGCACCTCGTGTTTTGCACATCCTATGTAGTTGTAGTGCGACTATAATATAATCATGTGAAAGCCTTGTTAAATTCATACCTGTCAGCAACAATCAAAAGCAAGTGTTATCTTTAAACAGGCTGACATTTTGATTAAGTTCTTAAATTTGATTATTTGTATAATGTATTGAGACATTAGGTGCTTTCAGCCAGGAGGGCAGCTACCAGGGGGTCCAAAGCCCTCGGGAGCCATCTATCATTGTTTTAAATGGCACTAGGGCTCTCAAAGGTCTTACTTACAGGAGCTCCACTCAGCAGATTTTGTTTAGCGGGCTCACTTCGAGGCTGCTCGTGAACAGGAATGGGGCGGGGTGTGGGTTCCTCATAGTTGCCCCAAAGTTCAGAAGGGGCGTTCCAATCAGAGCTGGGATCTGCTGAACCACCATCTGAATTGGAGTAAAAAAACAATTGGAGTAAATATGAGGCAGAGAGAGTACATCGTTGTTAGTGCGTGTGCATGCGTTGGGGGCGGGGTAATGTTCGGAAGAAAATTCTTACTGAATCCGGACCACTCATCATCTACTTTTGGCTGACTGAGCCATGATGCGTTATCCACCAGCTGCGGATCTAAACACACAACACACCATGAATCCCGTGCTTTTTTCCCCCCCTCAAATGGTGAGGGAAATAATACAAATGTATTGCACTTACCAGCTGTGCCAACACCCAGTTTAGTAAAGGGAACTAGATCAGATGGAATTCTATCAATCACAGTCCATGAATCTAGGGAGGAAAAAAACATGTACTTTTCACATGAATGCTATTATCCAAATCGTAAAGTGGGCAGATGAGGATTCCGTTATTTGTATTACTTCCACTAATGTGAGACTGAATTTATTTTAAACCATGGAAAGGACCATATGAGTATTTTATGTCTAGATATATCGAGCAGTATGAGAACAACACCGTGCTTTTCACAACAGTGGACAAACTGTGCATTTTATGCTGAAGTTAAACACCAATTTTACAGAATGGAGCGAGCATTTAAGCCCAATTCTGGATTTTCACCGCTTTAATGACAGATGACGAGTGAGCAACAAGTCGCCATTTCAGTTAGTGACATGCCAGCAAGCCCTCAGCCAGCGAGGGCTCAGCTCATTGTGAAGTGTAACAGAAACCCCCTGCGACAAGAGCTGAACTGCAGTCACAGTAATAAGTCTCAGGTGTGTATTCACAATTTTTTTTATCTGATACAGTGAGGCTTTTATCATGGGTTGCCTCTTATAAGCATCATTCACACCTGTTGCAGTTACTTGTGACATAAACTAAGTTTGGACTGCAGACAAATGCGACCCTAATTGGATTTTTTTTGCCCTTTTGTGACCTGTATGTGATTTTTTTTATGGCAATCTGAACAGTTCAATTTCGATTTTTTTTTTTCAAATCAAACCTGGATCAATTTCATGTGACCCTCAATCAGATACATATCAGAATGTTTGCAGGTCGTGTGTATCCGACTTTATATAATTGAAAAGCAACAGTGCCATTCTCTGTGGCAGGCACAAAAACTAAAGAGAAAAAAGTCACGGGGATGGAGAGTGCAAGGAAAGCAGGGTTTCCCCAACTTACTACCATTAACCACAAGGTGGTGGTTAATGCAACAAGGTATTTAACAACCACCAGAAGGAAGAAGAGGAAGAAGGGTTATAATAGTCGTAGAGTATTAGTCATGCATTACTGTGGGTGGCCACTTTTATTGCACGCTTAAGGTGGCGGTCATGCACCAAATGTATTTGCCAATCGCCAAACAAAAGCAGAAGTACAAAATGGAAGCAGAAAAAGCAGTAGTCAGAGCAACGGATGTGTGACATATTGCTATTTTAGCAGGAATTTTTTTTTTAACACCGCAACAAGGATTTACAGCACCAAAAGACACAACAGACCACGATTCTATCTTTAATCACAACGCGACATGGGATTCTGGTTTAGGTAAGCCATTTTAAACGAAGAAGAAAAACTTCTCTATCATTAGAAACAGAAGTTTCGTCCTCGTGAACATGGGTTGCATTTGGAAATTCACTCTGGGCTCCAGCACTCTGAATAACCCAATGGCAAATATGAACAATGATGCTGAGTTTGCCAATGGCCGAAGTGAAGCAGGAATGTCAGCAGTCACCCAGAAAGGATACATTTTTCAACTTTGGCATTGGCACAAATATGTCCACAGTACAATCGATCCTTACAATTTGTCTGCTATCCGGGGAACCCTTTGTTCAATTAGCTGACAAAATTCAGCTAAAAATATCCACAAATCAGCTCAAAAGGGACCCAAATTCCAAGGTGTTCTAAAAGTGGAATACTTAAAGATTACCGTGAAGTTTCAAACTGTGTCAATTGTCAGACACGCCCCCCCCCCCCGATCCCCCACCAAAAAAAAAAAAAAAAAACTAAACTTAGAAAAGCACAAATTGAACATTATTCATTTGGGCAAGTCATGTATTTGAGTCATTTTTTTTCATGAATGGATTTGTTATGGAGGATTTTAGAAGTGTTTGAAAGCACTCATGCCATCATTAGAAAATTACAGAAAGATGGCAGTCTTTTGTCACGCTAATTGTACCAGGGGTGAATCGATACAATTCTATTTCCTTTAGTAAATAAACAAACAAAGAAATAAATCTTGTTTCTCCATTTTACCATCAATGTCAGTCTTCCACAGTGGCGCTGGTTCTCTTGTGGGAGTCCACAGCCCTTGAGTCTTTGGAGCAGCAGTGTGAGGAACCTTGACCGCTTGAATATCAGCCACACCTGCTGCTACTAATGGTGCCTCACTGGTGTTAACTGATACCAACAAAGAAGCATGATAGTCAGCCGGGATACACACGTCATGTTCATGATGTAACACATAGAGAATAGCTGATAAAAGCTTGAACCTTGAATAAGATACCAGTGTTAAGATGCATTCCACTGATCATTACCGTGAGATACAGAAGCATTCATCTTCTCTGCTGTCACTTTTGATGAGTCTCCTGGGAGGAAAGAATTGAGGGTGGTCAAAAAAAATGTAAGGAACACTTCCATAAATGTATGTCTGTTAAAAGGGAACTTGCAGGCAAATGTGTCAACCCTACATTATGGAGAAATTGCAATCCATTCCCGAATGCATAATGGTGCATTCTAGAAACTCTAAAAAATGAGACAAGGGTTGGACATTGGGCCGCAAGAAGGCATTAAAATCAGCAGTCATGTTCTGATTTTTTTGGACTCATCATTCTCAAATTCCAGTTTTGGTGTTTGGTCAGCTGCTGATCCAAAGAACTTAATGGCGAAGAAGAATTGGTGACGATTGAAAGTGCGGTTCAACTTAAATTAACAGTCAACTGAGCGGAACACTCACAATACGCGCAAAGGAGGTCATACGACATATAGAACTGAATGCAGTGTCCCGTGTTTGATGAGGGTTACCAAATAGTTCTGTTGTGTTTCTGTATAGGCTACACCAGATTAAAGAATTGAAATAAGGGCCTGGGATGGGAACCGAATCGTTCAGATTCAAACAATACTCACCCCGAGTGGGGGCAGACATTTCCAAATGCCATAGATGTAACAAAAAGATTAGCAAGGTATGGAAGGTTTGCCCGTTGACCAATGTCATGTTCAAACCGAAGACTATGAACTTTGTGAGCGAAGCGCAGCCTTAATGACAATCCGAACCTTTTTTCTTTTTCTGGTTGGCAGGTGAAGCAGCTGCTGATGCCTTGCGCTGCTCCGGAGTAGCACTCATAGGAGTGCCGCCGCCGCCCTCGCCAGCACCACCACCACCACCAGGACTGGCAGAGCCATCACTGGAACTCTTGTCCTTCTTGCGTTGTTCACGTTTTTCTTTGTTGCTGACCTTAGTCTCCCATGTACCTGAATGTAGAATCAAATGCAAAATAATAAATGAATGTACAATACAGAGTTGCACGTAAACATCCATTACACCATGAGTATGAAAAAGGTGAGTGCCAAACAGGTTAATCAAATGACATATGAACATGTGTGCAATCAGTGTTTTTTTTTAATTGACTTTGAAAAGCAACACCATATAGTACCCTTCTTCCAAACAATTCTGCCTTCACAAAGTATTTGGTTGTGCATCTCTACAACATCAAACATGAATCATAATAATAAACAAGGTGGTAACTTGACTAATGAGTGCTCCAACTTCTGAGGTTTTTCGGAGCCACAAATTGTCTAAAGGCCATATATCTCACTGAGCAGTGAAAGGTTTGCAAGTGTGTGCACACCGAGTGAAAGTTTTTTTAGTCAGGGTTCCTTCAAGGTTGCAAACAGTCACAAAAGACAATCGCCAACAATTTTAATGGCACCAAACAGCTATTCTTGTCTCAAAGAAATTTTGAACATGTTCAAAGTTTGATGGCAACAAGAAAAACTGTTTGTGGATGTCTGGCGCACATCTTTGCTACACTGTATAAACCTTGGGAGAAAAAAAATAAACAAAACAAACAAAATTGATACCTGCACTTGCACCTTTGCCACCTAGTGAGATATGGGTTTAAGGAGCAAGCTTGAGATATGGTGCTGCTTGAGCAAAGTGGGGGGAGACTCACAGTCACCAATGTATTTTCAGCCATTTTTTTGAATGGTACATAGTAGAAGTGTTATAAGTAATTGATGAATTGAGTATGTATATATCAAGATAAGTCTATTTTTCTATGTATAAATATGACATATTTTACCTTCCTCAGGCTCCTTTCCGACAGCTGTCACGGTTTCCTTCACTGCCTGTGTGGCTTTCTTCTTTGACTTTTTTGTCTAGAAGATGTTAAAGTAATTATTAAAAGAAAGTAGAGCAATTTTGTCGGAAAGTGATCTATAACACACTGGCAATGTGTATGGTCCCTGTTGGCCACCTCGCTAATGATGAAGTTAAAAAGGGAGTGGTGAGGTAAATATTCCCATTGGCAAGCAACCAAATTGTCGGTCAAAATTGCACTCTATTTCACTCTTTCGGTTCTCCTGTAAGTTTGGGAGGGCGTTGCTAAAATAGAGACGAGCTGATGCAACCACAGAATCGCACGATTCACCACTCCCAACTATACAAGTGCCCTCATTTCATATGTGGCGATGCGGCGCTAGTGTCACTTCCTTACCGATAATAACTTGGACCATTTCTACTACAACTTGCAGTTAGCCATAAAGCTGTGCTCACAACTCGAAAAAAATACAGATTCCCTTAAGCGTTGTGTTCTTTGGGCTACGTCATCTCTACCGTGTGCAATGAGCGCCGTGCATAGCAAAATAGCGGCGAAACAGGGAGCACTAGCGCCACATAAACACAAGATGTCGTGGCTAACTACACTCAAATATGGCAAGAAGATATTTATACTGTTTAGCCACATTGGCCAAAAGATTTCATGACCCAGTGCCAACCGTGATCGGGCAGCAAGCACGTAGGATTTCATCAGCTAGCAGTCAATCAAATAAGCATACTCAAGTTAAGGCTATTTATAAGCTAAACTAAATATACAGGAAATCTTCCCTTTTAAGAATTCTCAAAATGTAAATCCATCCACACCATCTGCATAGCTACATGCAATTCTGACCACCTACAGTATTTGACAGTTTGTTACTACACTGTTCTGGAGGTAGTACGGAATGAACTACTTTGACTTTAGGCGGTCGTCACTCCCCTAAGGTTTTGCCGCATCTGCAGTTTAAAGTTAACACTGTAACCCAACACGGGCAGCTGCTATGGCTACGTCAGTGAAGGGTGACACTGACAGAGTACTCACCCGAAATGCTTTTCCTTTCACAGTATAAATAAAATGCTTTCAACTGCCACATACAGGTATATGGACAAGCTAAAGACATTGAATACGTGAGCTCAAACAAACACTGTTGTTTTACAGCTCTGATCATTATCAATTGTGATGCTTGTGTTACTGATCTGTGATTGATTTGCCTTCGAGTGGAACAACTTCTAGAACACTAATATTAAGCAATACTTAGAAAGGTTGTGGAACACTGTAACCTACAGTATAAGATGCAGTTTGATGATACATATTGAGAAATGTAAGTGTAATTTTACCCTTCTCGTGTAATAATGAAAACAGTAAAAAAGCTTCTCAGTATAATTAGTATGAAAATGTGTGTAGATATCTACTGTATCTCTCTCACAGTGTCTATTTTAGATTCTGATTTTTGAGCGTGATGTGGATAACAACTACATTGAAAGAGGGATCAAACTAGCAGGTTTAGGCAATTCATAATGCTTGGATCCGTATATTACCTCAACCGGTTTTTCACTCTTGAATTGTGGAGGCGGCTGTTGATGTGGCACTCTGTCCTCATTAACTATGGCGTCTTCTTCCAATATCTCCTCAGTGACAGCTCTCCCGTTTGGCTGGGATTTCTGAATGTACAATAAAGAACGACGTTTCGCCAAATGTATAATAAAATGAAAACAGAGTGTGTTGGGTGGGTCCGGTCGAATTCTATTCCGGAGCTTTAGCTTAGCACCTAATTTGGATGAGGGTACAACATTTGTGATTTAAATGGGAAGAGTGGTTCTATGTACGTGCCTTTTCCGTCCGTTTCTTCCTCTTCTTTGGCTCTTCTGATTTGACGGGTTTACCGGCACTTCGTTTCATCTCGACGGTGTCCTCCACAACGGTGGTCGCAGGCCGTTTCTTAAAGAGAGCCTGGCACATCGAGGCCCATATTACGAGCACCAGAACGAAGCCGGTGCACGCCGCAACTAGGATCGCCCATGGCGGAATGAGCTCGGGCTTGATCGCCAGATCCACGCCGAGCTGGGCTCGCAAAAACTCCTGGCCTTTGGACAACAATTCATTCACGCGAGATGCAAGCAGCTCGGCCTGCTGAGACGCCGCGTCCTTCCACTGTTCCATGGGTATTGCTAATAGAGCTTCCCAACGATTCACAATTAAAGCCGTTTCTATTAGCCGACCTAGCCCGCAGTGCTAGCTAAAAATAGCGGGGGGACGACATGATGGAAAACCATAAATGCCTCGCCTCCTTTCACTAACTACATCGGCCTCAGTAGACAGGTAACCAAACTCGCTAGCTAACTAACTAGCCTAGCTGAATCGAGAGATGTTTTCAAAACCTAAATGAACTTCGTAAGCCGTAAAAAATCGGCCAGCATTGTATCGCGCTGGTCGCAGTGTGTCTAGTACTAATATGACCACATTCACCTCATTCGACTTGAGCTGGAGGGGGAGGAACGATGCCCTCGCAAAATTTGTGCAGCGTTCAAGTCTCACCGGAAGTTACACAATCCTAACGTCGTACATATTACACGAAAAACGTCATACTGAATTACACGCTTGCAAGGTGTGACGCTAACGGGAAAACACGATGAAAACAGAGGCTTTCTTACAGAGAGAATGTTAATTAACTGTAATTAAATGTGAAAATGGTTTACGTTTAAAATCTTGTTTTGCACGATTTTGTTGCACATTCAGTGTACAGTATTTGAGGAAAATAAAGGGCCCATCTTTATACATTTTTTTCAGAAAACGTGACTTTACCAAGTTAAATCACACGTGACCTTGTGACTTGTAATCAAGCATTCTTTATAAATTGTATGTTTTTATCTGATATTTTGTAATGAAGCTCTGCAACTTACTTTTGTACGTCCTGGAGATCAAAGAGTTGTAACAGCTTTATTCTACAGACAGACTTTAAAGTTTAAAGTCGTGATCAGATTTGTATGAAGCTTCCTCAGTGGCATCCTGGCATCGTCTTGGTCTGACAGCTCAGTCAGCAAAATTGGTCTGGCCCAGCTCTGGCACGGACACGGCACGACACTCGGCCCACATACCGCAATGAATGACGGTCCTGCAGTGGCCCGGGTCCGGCATCCATGATCCGGGCCGCATTCGGCCCGGATCTGAGCCGCATTGTATAACCATATCCGACCCTACTCCGGCCCGACGCTGGGCCAGAACAGGTTCCTGATATCAGCCTTAATTCAACCTCAACTAAGCCACATCTTTCATGAGCCATATTTGACCCACATTTTTTTAAAAAAAGTCTCAAAAACAACTGTTATAAAAATATGTTTATTGTCATAATTTGCGAACCTCACATATAACTCCACATACACTGGAAAAATGCACTTTTCTTTATTTAACAGTGAACACAAAGTCCAAATTGGGATGCAGCTTCCTCTTGAACGGTATTTTTCTATCCATCAAATTGTAGCGCTCTCCATGCACTCTTTTCTTCTTATGCTTTTCTTCCTGTCACCATCCCGATAAGGAGCCAGATGTAGCCAGCTTGTGATTGTGACATCAATTTCCTGGTCTGAGGCCCAAGACGTTCAGGTGTTAGGTCTCACAGCGGCTGATAGAACTGGAAGAAAACAAGAATGGCTAGTGTGTTCGGAAAACAAACATTTGTACATGTCATGAACAATGAATGGTCAGTAAAAATAACCCTTGAAATTTCTTATAATAATAAGAATAATACATTGCATTTATAAGCGTCTTTCAAGACACTCAAGGGCACTTTACAACCAAAACTAAACTAGGTGTGACGCTGTGGGGCAGAATATTTGCCACCAAAAACTCAACGTGAATAACTTTTGAATAGTTTCTACTAAATTTGAATTACATGAATTGAAGTTAAGTGTATGGAAAATGGATGTACTTGTATATTTTACTCTGAATCATATTGAATAACTGAATCTGAATTGTACAATCTGAATTTTAAACGAGACTTTTTTCTTTGAAACTGTATTTGATCCTCACTGAAAATTAAATTCTGTTTTTTTTCATATTCAGTCTTACAAATCCAAACACTCATTTCAACGTCAGATTTTGTTTTTGAATTGAGGTACTAAGTTCAATCTTCAGTCTTCTGTCTTGTCTTCAGTCTTCAGTCTTCAGTCTTCTGTCTTCTGTCTTCTGTCTTCTATCTT